CACAGCCCAGCACATAACCACCACACCATCAGGGCTCCAAACTAAGTTTTCCTAAACTGAATTACTTCCCCCTACTCTGTGTATAAATTCTCCTTTTCGTATACTATTCACCAGAAGACAGAAGTTCTCGAAAGAATGCCAGCGTGGAAATCCCAAGTTCTACTCCTGGTTTTACACCTCACAAGCTACGTAACTTTACACGAGTCATTCCAATAGTAGCTTATCCAAGGAATTCTCGTGTCTATATATGGAAATTCAGAAACTTTTATACTCTAGGATTTCCCTAGAAATAGGTTGCAGACACCCATAGTCCGTCCTATGATATCAATTCTACCCACAGACTTTTTGTCTGCCTTTGGGAGGGAAGATTCTGGAGACGTGCCCATCACACTGACGTGTTTACTGTCTGCACCATCAGATGAGCATGGCTGAGGAGAAGGCTGGCTGGGAAGTGTGAGAAAGTCATTCACCACACAGCTGTCCCTGCCTGAACAGTACCATGGATAAAGGGAGTCCCTCCCGAGAGATCTCTATTGGCATTTAGTCTTCATTTTTTTCTGTAGAGAAAAATGTCCTATCATTGTGAAGAATGGACTGCCTTCTCTATGCAACTGCTCCAAATCCAACTGTGGACAAAATCCACCTGACAAACCCCCTTAACTGCTTTGATTCAGTTCTTAACGGAGATTAGTTGTTGGAAGGTCACAGAGAAGCCAACCTCCTGCACATTGTAGTTTGGGATTTCAAAGCTTTCACTACTAAGGGAATCTCCTTGCTTGATGCCCCGTCCCTCCATACCATTTAATCAATGAATCAACAAATAGTGACTGAACAAGCCTTCCCTGGGGTCTGCAGGTCACTTCAGATGTGCCTCTCTAGTTCAATAGAAAGAGAAAGAAAAACAGATTTTTCGGACTCCTCTGAAAACCACTGCTGGCATCAAAAGACTGTGGGTCTCCGGCTTCTCTATTCTTCCCTTCCTAGCACCAGCCTGTGCCACAAAGAAAGAACAAAACCGCTAGGAGCTGAGAGACTATGCAGGGATTGGAAAAGAAAGAAAGAGGGAGGGAGAGAAGAGGGAAGGAAGGGAAAGGGGGAAAGAGGGAGAGAAGAAGGAATGGGATGAGGAAGTGAGGGGAGGAAAGAAAGAAGGAAGGGCTAAAAGAATAAAAGAGTTTCAGGAAGGTTAGAAGATACTGTGAACATGTAGAAAGCTTGCCAAGAAACGCTGCTTTGATGGACAAGGCCTTCTATGTGGACTGGTTCTGAATGGTCACTGCTTGCTAGTCTATCTGATTATCTCTCATTTCTAGCTTTTAGGATCGAGGTGGTTTTGTCTGCCTTCTACCTGCACGTGCTTTTCTACTCTCAACTCCAGCAACGGGAGGATATATCAAAGGTGTATCAAAGGTGGGCTGAGTGCTCAGAGTATTGGAAATCCTAAGTAAAATGTTAAAACTCAATCAATAATTTTAAAACTAAATAATTTTCATCAAATGAAGACAGATACACTACTTCTTACTATTGACATGATTAGGTTCCAAAGACTAGAGGATTATGCCAACATTGGTATTAGACAAAAATGGGGGATCACCACATCAGATCACAAAATGAAGGATGACTACATTATTGCATAATTGCCACACAGTATCATTATCCAATTTACGAACCACCCAAAGTCAGCGTCCAGCCAAGATGATGTACGCCTTTAATCACCACAGCCACCAAAACTCTCACCTCGAACCTCAAAGTCCCTTACTGTCAGATGTAGATTGCTAATTCAAAATAAACCGCATGCTAGATTTGTTTTACTAATGCCATCAATGCAAAATGTCAGATAATGAGATGACTAAGTGAGGAGTAGGTATACAATATATAATAAATATAAATAATAATAACAACATATTACTTTAGAAATTTAGTATTCTTTTTATTTCTTATTTAAGATAATGCTCTAGGCTACAAAACCATGATGTCCCAAATGATAACAAGCTACAAAAGTGGGCACTTGTCATACAACTAGACATCTATGAAAATTATCTTTCTCTGGCCCAACATTTAGAGCAGAGTTCTACAGGATCATATGCTTTCTCAACCACAAAAAGAATAAGAAGAAAAAACATGTACCATTTATTGAGCAGTTACCATGTCCCAAAGATGACAGTAAGTATTTCCTATGTGTTATCTTATTTAATCTTGTGAATCAGTGGGCATGCACTGTTATCCACAGTTCACACACAAGCTGTGGAAGCTCAGAGAGCTGAACTCACTTGAGCCATGATCTTAAACATAGTGGGACTCAGTGCAAAGACTCTAGCCCCAGGACTGACATTAAAGCCCCCGTACTGAAACTTTCAGTCTTACCAGTCAGCTTGGAGCGCTGAGGCCAGGAAAACTAAATACGATGTCTTCCTTATCCAAAATCTCACTTGACCTTGGTGTTTCTATATCTGCTCTTCACTGTTCCTTCTGTAACTCAACCATTAACTACTACAGTTTTATCTATCTGTTTCTTTGGGATAGGCATAACTGGTATTAGAATAGCAAACAAACATGAGGTCACAGATTTGAGCATGACATTCTAAAGGATTTCATTGCCTACAACCGATGTAATCGGGGCATCAACCTCGTAAAGTGCTCAAATGAAAAAAAAAAAGCTGCTTAAATATAAGTATTTTGTTAAAATGCGACACTTAGAGACCTAAATAATGTCCAGATAAAAGTCTGGAGTATGTGTAGAGAAGGCTGCCAGTTTTACATGTGTACTTGGCTTTAAAAGTATCCCCCTCATGCTTCTTCATGGGGTAACTGGTGGGATCACAGATGAGATATGTGCAGAAAAACCAACATCTCAAATTCTATCACCCACTGTAGACATCGCTACAGTGTGTATGATTCAGCACCTATTCAGAAGGGTCTACATGCCAACTCTGGTCAATCATAAGTATGCCATTAACTTTCAAGATGATATGATTATGTATAACCCTAATATATGGAAGGAGGTGTGACTCAAGAGACCTGTTCAGGTCTGATCACCTTCGGCTCCAATACACCCAGACAGACCTATTCTTAGAGTGCCCAAGGGTGTAGGAAACTCACTCTTTCTTCCTGCCTCTTGTGTACCGATCAGGTCATCCCTCTAAAAACGGGATAGAGAGGCAGCTGCCATTCTCATCGCCCCCTTTCCCCCCAACCGTGACTACTAGACTGTCTTCTTTCACTTCTTTGGCTATTCACACCTGGTAGCAGCACACCAAACATCCCATGCGGCAGCTTTATACACAACTTGACACTTGGTTACCATTTACTAATATCTTGGTAGTTGGAGGCATATTTACCTATATCATATACAGAATGCATGTCTACCAGAGAAATTCTAGTCCTTTTGGAATAAGCAAAGGTCTGAGCAGATGAACACCCAAGGTTAGGTTCACACTCCCCAGGTCAGCTGCAGGCATGTATACCTACCCTATTACTGAAGTTGCTTCTCAAGCAAATAATAGTTTTCAGAAAGAGTAAAGTTACAAATTGATCCAAAGGCTTGGAGAGGTGAGGGCGGGGGGTGGGCAGAAAGACAGTTGCATCTGGCCTAAAAAGCCCGAGGAACCAACTGACCTATTCTCCTGATGTCAAAGCTGGAGAACTTCAACTACGCAGTTAGCGTGACCTTCCACGAAGGAAGCCCTGAGTAAGCAAAGAGATTGTCCTTCTGGCTGTCTCTAAAACAAAGGTACTTACCAGCGAGAGCGCCACCAGTCACCACACTTTCCAGAGAATCACTTTGGCCCCCTTTCTCCATAGAAGCCGAGTGGGATCTGCCAGTTTGTAGAGGTAACTACTTGGGTGGGAATAGAAGGGGGAGGACGAAAAGCAAGGCTTTCCCTTTAAAACTGAACAGAAGCTGATACCATATCACATGACCTTTTACCGTAATTTCTATTAAAATCATTTCATGTCTGGTTGCCTCTGCTCTCCTGGCTCATTTGTATTGTTTACAACAAGTCATTGCACTGGCAGTTAGAGGTGCGGAATCCATGGTTACCCGTTTTTACATTCACTAGTTAAATGGAATGCAGCTCGGCTGTGGGTTTCAGAGCGCAAGCTCTTAAGAAACCACAATCCAGCTATCAATCAGGCTAATCTGAGAGAAATTAATCTTATAAACACCAGTATCATTGCATATTAAAAATTGATAGAAAGGGGGCGCAGCTTTGATTGCTTGGAGTTACAAAAGTGGACAGGCTGAGATTTGGCTGAAGGGTCTCAGGGTGCTCCGGCTGGCATCAAATCTGATACCCACCCCTGTTGTGCATCTGAAAAGCTTTCAAGGGGAACAAGACCACCCTTTCAGACAAGTCCACCAACCCCTTCCAAATGTTCACATGTATCATACTTGCATGGACTTAGAATACACATAGTGCCTCAGCGCAAGCTAACCCGACTGAAATCCCTGCAAAGTAACTTAAACAGACACATATACGAGACAGCAGAACACCAGCCCAACAGCACTGGGTCGGGTTCAATGAAGACAAAACCTCCATGAGCTCTTTATGAGTAAATGACAAGAGCAAACTCATATGTTTTATTGAGAACAAAGAATGATATAAAATCCTTCCACTGCCCATGGATTAATGTTGCTCTTTCTTTAAAATGCATTCCCCCCGCAACGAACTAATTTCTCAAAAAGAAACTGGCCAACAAGTACAATTCCTAATAAAAATTTAGAAGTTGTACAGTTTAATGCCCAGAATAATTGTCCCACAAGTCACATTGAGAAGCCTAGGGAAAGCAGCAAATAGTTAAAGCCAACCTATTACAACCCCATCTACTGCAAAGTCACTGTATCAGAAGCTAGAATTGATTTGTCTCCTCCGAACGAAATGAAAATGAATATAACATCAACGTCGGAAAAATCCCCCCTGCCCTGCTAATCGGATATTGTATAATGGTTGATTGCAGTTTTGCCCGGTACTATTGCTGCCTAAATCATACATACTTACACGTTCTGGTTCTTCCAAGAGTTTGGTGCAGTTTCAAGGACAAATGTCTTAAGGAAGCCTCTCCACTGTGCAGCAGGGAGCCTAGCTCGGATCTGATGACAGGAGCGCGCTGCTAAATCTGACAGCAGAGAAGGAAACTTCCTACGTGAAGAGCAGATCTTGGAAAGTCTCGGGGTTCAAAAGGCTGCTGGAAATGTGCTGGGTGATTTGCTCCTGGTTGTGGAAACACAGTAGCAGCTGATCTGTGTTTGCAGCCCTGCAGAAAGGAACCTTTACTGAAAACCAATGGCATCACATTTCAGCGGAGCCCGTGCCAAGCGCGGGAGAGCAAGGCAACCTTTGACAACTTCACACGATTCCAACCAGCAGACTTACCACAGGTCAGGGAGGAGTTTGCAATGTGTCTGCCCGCTGGGTTTCGCCCCGGGCATGTTAGCGTGAGTACCTGGGAAACCACACACAGGTGAACCTGGGAAACCACACACAGGTGACCGGCTGGCTGTCAGCAACCATGTGAGGTGCTCCCTGGACTGGCGGTCAGGGGAGTCTCCCTCTTTCTGTTGCACTGACCTACCACCTACCATATTTTAATAGAATCTTTTTTTTAAATGAATACAGATTTGAAATGATATTTCCCCACTGTTTGTTATAAGCCTGCAAATCCACAGTGTGTAACTAATCCTGTGCTGAGTAATTAGACCCCTCAGAAAGATGTTCCTCACCAATAAACTGAGGCAAAAATAATACTCATATAGGATTAAGTGGTGTCGTACCTCATTCTGTATTTTGTCTCCGATTCAGAGGCTGGCCTTTGAAATAACATGCCTGGTGTCTGTTTCTCTTTTCTCCCTTTTCTTTTTGGTGGTTGTGAGGGGACGGGGTGGGTGGGGTGTGGGGGGGGGCACTTCATTCTTGCTCAGTAGGGGTGGCAACTAAACTTCATGCCAGTCATGCTTACTGTTATCCTGAGACTGTAAGGATAGGAAGAGTAGGCGAGTGATGCTGTTTACCAGCAGGATTACCTTCATGGACAAGCGTGGACATTCTGGACTTGCCAATTCTAGCAGTGAAAGTTAAGAGAGAAGCTGATGGACTGAGGCGGGGATGGAGAAGGGGTGGAGGGTGGCCACTGGTGCCTCTCCCAACTGAATCCAAGTCTTCAGTATCCGTGGGTTTCTCGCTGCCCTTCATTTGACTTCTGTCCCTGTGGCAAGTCTAGGTTACGGTAGACTATGTGGTAGTTTCTCACTATTGTGCCTTTTGCTTCAAAGGGCAGAAATCAGAACTGACAGTTTCACAAAAGGCCGTGCTAAATGTGTCAAGCAGTACAGGGAAGTGTTCTCCTATTTATCTGAAAGCTGACCCTGGGCAACTGGTGAATTAGCCAAGGCCCTGGCTTTTCATTTCGGCCACACGATTGTTCCGACATAAAGATAATTCTCATACATTTGAGAGCCAACATAATGTCATGAAGGATCGGGGCTCTGGTGCCAGAGAGGTTTAACTTCTGATCCTGACTCTACACTTTTCTACCTGTGTGGGTTGGGAGTTGCTTTAAGATCTCTGAACTTCTGCTTCCTTGTCTGTGAAATGGAGACAATACATCTATGATACAAGATAAGTGTGCCGATTTAAAGGAAAGGTTGGTCAAGTGCTGAGTATGGTGCCTGGCATGCAGGCATTTGCAAACATTTCCTGAGCTTTCTCTCGAGGCGGATGCAGTGCCAGACAGTGGGGTACACAGTCCATTAAGACATGGTCTCCAGGCTCATGGGAGTTTGGCAATTCCTATGGATCATCTACTTTCTCCGGTCACTTGGGTTGTCTGTACTAGGGTGTGGACAAGCATTTTCCAACTCTTTGTCTCATCTCATCTCATCAGGGAACAATGCTGTGAAATAGATAAAACTAGATGCTGCCCCCGGGCTTGGAAGCATTTAGTTGCTAGGCCATGGGTTGGAGCCAATGTGACAGCCGTGAGCCCCAACACATCCCTGACTTACTAACTGGGAGACTGAGGCGTGAAAAGTGGGGGTCACACAACTAGTCATTGGTCTCAAGAGCTGCAACCCAAGTTCTCGATGCTATTGAACACTCTGCAGCGTGCACATATGAATTGCCACACAGCATTCTTTTTTGGTGCAGTTCTATAGTTGGTCATCTTAACGTTTTTTGTGTATGTAGATCGAGCTTCCCTAAAGGTAGTATACATTCCTTAAGGTGAGAAATTATAACAAAAAATGACTCAGTATTCTCAGACCCAAACCAAAGCCAACCCAAGGCTATCAAGTTGGTCCAAACCCGTGGAAACCCTCTGGGTCCGAGTAGACCTGTTTCTTAGGATTTCCAAGGCTGGAGATCTTTACGGGAACAGACTACCCCATCATCCTCTGATGGATCACGTGGGGGGTTTGAACCGCCAATCTATGGTTAGCAGTCCAACGCTTATCTAGAATAATAGCTAAGCATATCACATGTTTGACAATTTCTTTCTAAATATCAAAGAACCTCAAGCTGGGTGGATTTTGCTTCTTGCGATTGCCCTCCTAGGAACCAGATGTCTCCAACAAAGGGCTGTACGGAAGCTGGTTGTAGCCTCGCAGGGCCCTGTGCTCCCCATTAGCTCCAAGTAACTCGGGGTAGATCTCGGTTTTAAGCAATGCCTTCTAATGAAAGCATCTAAAGGTTGTTTAGTGTATGTTCTGTACCGTGAGATCCTGGTGAATTTTACTGAAAGTAATTAATTATTTATTTTTAGATTCAATACTGAGCCCAAGATAGCCCTTCCTTTCCAGGTTCACTCCAGTGAGTCAACAGATTACAGAGGAGAGTGTACGGTTCTGTGATCAGTATCCTAAAAATCAGAGTAGGCAGGACACACATCCAACCTGGGGTAGGATCCAGAATCCAGCAGAGTTTGGGAATATATCTTTGTGTGTATTGATATACATATATATTCTGTAAATATATATAGGAAATTATATATATATATATATATATCACAGAGTTCACTGAAAAAATTCCATTAACTTTCAATTCAACTTTTCCCTAACCTTTTGAAAACCCTTCATTGTGTGTGTGTTGGTGTGTGTGCCTGTGTGTGACCAGCACACATGTCTTCAGTAATGTTAGACACCTATCCGTGACTCACCCATGAAAATATCCTTGAACTGAGACCCGGATTGTTTCGGGAACTTGGGAGTTCTAGCTGATGCATTACACTAATTCGTTTGAATGCTAACGCCTGAAAATCTCTTTTTAATGGCGGTCATATCGTAATTTATAAGTATGTGCTGCCAAACAATGATGTCGTCAGCCTTAACCCAAATCCAGGAAGTCTACTCTAATACCAGTGGCATGGCAAAAGTGCAAATGACAGGCATTGTTTGAAACAAAGAAAACAATTATGGGAGACATTATTTTTGTTTCCAAAATCATGTACTTGCTTATTTAGAGAGGTTGTGGCCATCTGTAAGGCAAACTAAACGCGCTCCCCCAGCACTGGCACTGCATACGTTAGAATTATCGGGCGTGCTAATATCTTATATATTTAACTGGCCAGCTGCATACTATTTCCTGCTTCCTCTCTAAATAAAGGAATCTGTAAAGTACCTACCACAGTGCTTAGTGCTTGGTCCACTCGGGAGCTTAACTGAGTCTCCCACGGGTTGACCAGACCTAATGGTCAGCGTGAAGGCCTGGTTGGCCCAATGACTCTCCCTCAGCACCTACTGCTTGTTTTTATTAGTGTTGACCAGTCAAGTCCAACTCCTGGAGACCCTGTGTGTGCAGCAGGACTGCTCCAAGGAATGACCCCTGGGGGAAAACGCCCCCGGCCTTGCCTTTAAGGCCCCACTCCAAACCCAGACCAAACTCAACTGCCATCCAGGGTGTTATTACCACTCAAAGCGACCCTGCACGGCGGGTACAACTGAGCCTGTGGGTTTTTGAGCCTGTAATGCTTTCCAGGAATAGAAAGCCTGATATTTCTTCCAAGGCGCAGCTGGGAGTTTGGAATACTGTCCTTGTGGTTAGCAGCCTACTCCATCAACAGGCTCCACTGGGGAGGCACCAATCGCCAACCTTTCAGCCAGGAGCCAAGCACTTAACCCACCTATCAGCACTTTTAGGTCTGAGTCTCTTTTTAACTTTCACGATCATCTAGAGAAGTAGATTCTCTTATTATTCCCAGTTTCATAGATGATAAAAGCTCAGAGAATCAAATAATTCTACTGGATTATTTAAGCAATAAATAGCCACATAGAAATTTTCAACTGCCAACTCTAACTCTAATCCCCAACATTTCCACATAAGGTACTACAGTTGCCCTTTGGGAAGCCGATGTACATATTAATTTCCATTATATTCCTTTTCACTTCCCGCCCAAATCCTCTCCCTCTGCCATTAAGTCAAGCTGACTCACAGAGACCCTGTTTAAAGCTTCCAGGGCTCTACGTTTTTACAGGAGCAGAAAGCCCCCTCTTTGTCGAATGGAGTGGGTTGGAAGTAATCCTCAGCCCAACAAGGAACCCAGTACTCAACCAGGGTTCCCACAGCTCACTTACTTACAGGCAAGGTTCTCTCTCTCTCTCTCTCTCTCTCTCTCTCTCTCTCTCTCTCTCTC